ATTGTCCAAAGGAATTTCAGCAGTTCACTTCGTCACTGTAAAGGCAGTCTTAGTTAAGTGTCTAACAAACCTAACAGTAGCACAAAGTAGTGCAAGAAAACACCTAAATGATGAAATAAAACAGATAGAAGAAGCGTTGGTGTTGAATAACTAACTATCCTATAAAATTCATTAGGATGATCAGTAAAGGGCAAAAGTAAATTAAGCATAATTGTGAAACTAGTAATAATAACATAAATAAGAGAGGATATAAATCATCTACTGTTATACCATATAAGGAGGGGACACCTGAGGCCATACGTGGGATTCTTAAGAAGGAATTAGGGTGGTGGCACTCAAACCTACAAACTCACTCAGAGACAAGCTCTGTAGGCTAAAAGATTCAGTGGATCCAATTAAACGAAATAATATAATTTACAAAATACTCTGAAATGACTGTCAGTGAGGTCAACTACAAAGGTCAAACAAGTAGATCGGGGTATTCAGATTGTCGAAACATTAAGATTTAGCTAGTGGAAGAATGATTGAACCCACTCGCGAAGATGAGTAATTTAGAAAAAAGCTCAGTAATTGCACCACATCCATTAACACACAACCACACAATAGGATGGGAGAGGGTTAAGATTCTAAGAAGTAATCTATCTAGGTGGAGAGAGAGAGACTGATTACTGAATCCTGCCTGTTTCACCGAGTCTACACAGCCAACACAACACATCCAACAGAAAGGACTCAATGCAAATACCGTAGATATGCATGGAAGATATTATTACCACCAGTCAGTCAGTCAGTCAAATCAGAGGAGGGTAATAAATAATCTAAAAATTCTATTTCATTTCAATTCAAGCATATCACAACATTCTAACAAGTTACTTATTACTGATGACTGTAAAAACACTCGTCTTATTTCCCATCTGATTGTAATTGTTCAATAATACTCATATTATTATTTCTGAATGTACATTATCCCATATTGGATTTTATTCAAATATCTAGTCAATTTCAGACATGTATATAAATGAAGGAAAACGTTTTGTGAGTGAGTGACTTGATATGATTATGAGTGACAATAGTTTGTGCTCGAAACGTGGTCATCAGTTAATATTACTGTATAAGAGCACTCTGTGATTTATCAAAATAAAATCTTATCCATAATGGAGTTATACTTTACCACCAGAAAGTGCCCAAGTTTTATACCTATATCAATTCGTCACACTTTATATAGAATACGCAAGAGATGAAAAGAACAAAAAGGACAAGGGTACTATAATGAGCAAAAACTTACGCGAAAAATTAATATTAGCGTGGAAAACCATGACGATTTAATAAATCTGGAGGACTACAAAGAATGAATATATCTGCGCCACTGTAAGCAATATTACTAAAAATCTCTAACCAGTGGTTCCTAATACTTCGACGATGCCAAATAGGTAGATCCAACTTATACCTTTACTTTATGGTCAGATGGGAGTATCGGAATTGCCCAATGAGCTACACTGGTTGAAAATAATGTTTCTGAATATCCTTCCATATCACAATGGTCCTGGGATAGAGGTTAAACCAAAAACAATCACCTTTACAGTGTAAGTTAATTACACTAAGCTGGAGGTCTGTTGGCCATGCCTTAATATTGGAGAATAGAAAAAACGATAGCAGTAAGGTGTTTCTTCAGGTGTCCGACCTGTCAGCCATGCTGCCTGCCTGCTGTGGAGAAAAGGGATCTAGACAGAGGTCGTTCTGAAAGACTGTATATTCCGGTCTACCCTGCTGCGGTAAGATATTATTTCAGACTCAACTCAAATTCGATGATGACATCGAATTCCATGGTATGAGCAGACAGGAAGTAACAATCGCTTAATCAACAACTAGGCTGTCTAAACCTTCCTACGTAGATGAAAGAAGCAGTCAAAGACTTCGATAAATGATTCCAGATCTTTAGATGACCACCCCTAACATTTTTCAAAAATTATCCACCATCAGCTGATATTGCGTGTCAAGGAATACGGTGTCTCGACATGCACGTAATCACGTAATGAAATCAAAAGGAATAAAGGACGTATTAGAGAAGGAATAATTAAATAAAGATCAGTGAGGATTTTCAGATGCTAAAAGATCCTAAGGGATGAATGCCATTCGTACTACACTAAGAATGACTTCTAGCTATTTTACCCGCAGTTTGAAATCAACGATTGGACAAAGGGACGTCTTCTTCAACTCCGAGTTCCAGAACATAAACTGCATATATCAAATGACACAAATAATTTTAGTCTCACATATCAATACATGTCAGTAATTATGGACACCAAATGGACTGGGAAAATGTAGAAATTCTAGACACTGAGGACCCCAAAACGCTGAAGAATTCCTTCCTAGAGGGCTGGTACTCAAACATATCAGGCATCAACAGATAACTTATTATATATCAAATTTACCATGTCATATGACAAAAAAGTCAAAAGGATCTATGCTAATGCAAATTAACAACCATTCATAACAAAAATTGTTGGGAGAATTCGAATAATTTTTTGTCCAAATAGCTATAAACGAGCACTAGTCAAGACTCTGTACTATAGAGCGAGGAAAATATGCTCTGCAGAGAAACTAGAGGAAGAATTTACGATTCTCGAAAAGGTGCTGAGAAACAACGGTTATCCTAAAAGATTCATTAACAAATATGGGAGATGTGAAGGCTCAGATACCAAACAAATCACAGTTGAAAAAAACCTGTCTTCATTCAACTAGATTTTAAAGGTGAAAACATTGCAAAAATAGTCAACAGAAGACTGAGAACGTCACTAGCTAGAGCCTATCCTGCAGCTAATTCGGTTCCCGTCCACCTGAACAACATGCTATTTGGCGCTGTCAAAGTCGATAGATACTCTTCTCATGTTAACTCCAACCGCGTATACAAATTTACGTGTGTCTGTGGAAGCAGTTACATTGGGAAAACATAAAGAAGGGTACACCTCCGATTTTCTGAACATGTGCCGAAAAGCCTACGTCTCAAGGGAACAAACTCTCATAGTAGCGCTATTACCAGACATCTCCTCGACACGGGTCATGAGGTGGAAATCTAGAAGTCCTTCAAAATTATCAATAGACAAAGGAGCTTTATTCTCCACAAGTTTGCCGATGCAATTTCTATCAAACGCTTGAAACCAGATTTATGTGTCCAGAAAGAAGCAGTTACTAGTCTTTCCTTGCCCTGGTAACTGGATGTCTCTATTCTTTCATCTGATTACGTAATCTTTGTCTTTAACCTCACCCCCTTTTATAATCTATAATTTTGTTTGTCTCTTGTTTCTGTGATTTGAGTTCAACTCAGTACATTGTTACCTAATTTATTAGTCACTCTGCATCTAATGCACATCTCATCTTTATTACGTAACTCCTTTACCATTATATGCATACATTTATTTTGGTTTAACTTGAACTGCCTGTATAAAAACTATATAAGCGCAATTTTCTGAGCACTGTTTACTAATTGTGGAAATTTCTGTCAACTGACAACACGTAAAATTTGCAAGTATGTTAAAACTTTTCTGTACTTAGACCTGATAATTTATTTAGGCTGTAAGCAGCAGCAAATGATGAGAAGCCGACGAACGAAATAAACAAAGGATGGTACCATATTATTCTGCACAAACCACCACTTTTGTTCTTGCTTTATTCATATTCGAATAAGTTTGCGCTGAAGATATGTTATCTAGGAGGGAGACAATGAAAGCTTCTCAATTAAAGCACAAACCAACTCAGAGAACATAACCACACCAAAACCACCCATTTGATTTACAAATCTTCTCTATTAGACTATTCATAATATGTCATATTTCGCACCAGGTTCAATATTATTATATTATTACTTTTATAAAAACACAAAATAATTGAGCGAAGCGAAATCCTTTTCGATAATTTCCTCTTCTGGCTCTACATTATATATATATATATATGTTTACATACATAGAATATTGTAGAATAGCAGTCAATAACAATATTAGTGTTTTTTAAATAATATCGATTTGTAAAGTAAGATCACAATGCAATTACAGTTCATTAAAGATGCCTAAATTATAATGATAACAAAAATATAATAGCAAATAGAATGTCAACTAAAATTAAGGAAATTTCTACAAAAAATTGAGGATCATTCAAACCTAGATGGCCAGCGGGGTAAGGACACTGTCTGAACTAGCTTCTTTTGGACGCATAAATTAGGCTTCTAAATATGGATCCCAACGGCCAGCTACAACAATATTTAGTAAACGAACTCTTAAGGTGAAGTTAAGATTTGCTGGTATGCGGTAAATGACTTTAAAAGCCGCATCGTTGACATCAATCTTGTGTTCTGTTTGTATCCACAAGATGAGATAGAATAGCGCCGTGTAAATAGATTTTGTTTGTCCTTTACTTAACCACTTTTGTTATTTTTATTAACACAATTCCCTTAGGATCCTGGTGGAACATTAGGCTTCAGAAGCACATCTCAATTTCACTGTGTTCTCTGCAGTCTTTTTCTACTTGCCTCCACGATTGGTCATAAGTTTCCATGCCTGCTCTCCATACGATCTCATCCACGTGACAGTAGGACACATGCGCGACTTGTTGTGCCTATTCGGGTTCTGTTTAAGCAACTGAGACAAAATGATACTCAACGATCCATTCCATCATCATTTTTTTCTTCAACACATTAGTTTGGCGATAACTCCTTGATTGGTTTACTGCAAGAATTACTAGTTCACTGGCTCACTATCCTACTCTAAGCCCAGGAAAGGAAGGAAGCTTGAGCATTCAGCTAGCTGTCCTACCCCTGAAAAATCAGTCCAGTCACTTATTTGAGGCAGAGAGACTTTAGCTGAATACTAACAATCTCATAAAAGACTCTCACTATTAATCGAGTGAAGCATGAAATTCACTGAAAAATTATGTGAAGTTTAATATATATATATATATATATATATATATATATATACCTTTGAAGTTATAAATATCAAATTACAACTTACTCGGTTGGTATAATCGTTCTCTTCCAGGGGGTGGTTGATTTATATGAACTATACGTTCACGTATTATTTCGAAATTTAGAGGCCTGAAAAGTGTTCATAAAAAATAACAATAATAAAAATATTAGTCGTCATTCTACGAATAGTATTGTCAAATTAATCATATATTGCAGTTTAATTCTTATATTAAATTGCCTTCTCTAGCTGTCTTGAATGTTTCAGTCACGATTTATTAATCTTTAGTGTTTTTAAATTTGAGCGTTGAGTACTTCTCATAGACATGATCTGTTGATATGTTTAACCGCCAATTTACGTTATAATTGGAGTATAAAAGCAGCAGGCACTTGGGAATTAAGTGATTTTGATGCGGTTGTGTTATCTGAGCTGGATAGTTAATTTGCGAAGCTTTCATCGTCCTACTAGGCGACATCTTCGGCGCATACTTCAATTTGAAGTGGACTTTTAGATTTCTCCACGAGTTTAAGTCAGAGAGACAATCAGTTCCAATACAAGTAATCTAGAAGGTGTGAAAACACACAAAAACAACCATTCACGTTCAAGGTCATCGCCAGGAGAGATGATTAATAAACTCTTGGAGAAAGCTAGAAGCTCACTACCTTAAATTGGAGTATGCGCTGAAGATGTCGCCTAGTAGGGCGATGAAAGCTTCTCAAATTAACCATCCAGCTCAGAGAACACAACCACATCAAAATCATCCACCTGAGCTACAAATCTTCTCTATCATACCTAAATTAAATGATTCTTTTTAAACTTCGAATACTGAAAATACGAAAATTTGTGAGGAATTTTGCTTCATTTGAACAAAGTTCTATGACTGACGGAACTCTAAAGAGGCCAATTGATAGAAAGCTGTTGTGGAAAGCTCATTTGACGAATTTCTCTATCTGGGTACCATTAGTCGAAAACGAAACCTCATTTGATCAACTGCCACTCGCATTTAGCATATATGTAGTTCTCATGCTGTGAAGGAAGAGTTAAATCTTCTAAGAGGAATCCTAAGAGAAAGTGGATTTCTGCCACTTTTTATAGGCAAGACCAAAAAGTCAAAACCTATAAAATGTGACTTAACCTCTGTAACCAAGAAAATGCTGTACATGAACCCGGAATTCAAAGATGACTAAGCTGGTGATATCCCTAAAAGAAAGATCTAACAGTCTCTGAAAAGGGCATTTACTGCACAGTTTTTCAGTCAACCGATAATGTTCAACAACCTGACGGACAAGATCACACAGTCTATCAACTCTATGTGCGTTTACCAATCCACCTGCTTGTGTGAAGCTATGTATATCGGTCATTCGACTCGGATTTTGTCCAGGAGAGTGCAAGAGCATTTCCTTACGCCTTAACACTCTGTTACTTTCATATATATTCCTATGACAAGTCCATGTGTGATTAGGTTGTTCGAAATGTGTTGCACAAATACAACATTACACGATTCAGACAAATTACGTCTTCTTACTGCTTTGTCTAAATTCATGGAGGGAACTAATTGTTTTAAATTTGAATTCAACTGCATAGATTCAACATAATTATTCAAGATGTGGAGATGCATAAGAAGTGAACTTAGAGTTAGTTTGAAACAATTTTCAGAATCAAGTTCTCTTTTTTTCATTCATTTGACTTGCAAGTGGAATGTACTGATTCCAGATTTAAATAAGTTCCAGTGTGGTGAGAGCTGTCTGCTAGCCAAAATCAGTAGACAGCAATTTACATCAATATTTACGTCCCAAATCTTGGTCATAAGGCAAAACAAGAACAAAGACTAACTCAACAACCAATCATAGCAGACTTAGCGTCGGTGGATACGGTTAGCAGATATGTGGTCTGACCTTCAAAGGAACGGAAGCAAAGAGATGACGGAATAACCTTCAGCAGACAAAACAACCAGTCAGAAGACGTTGCTTCTGTGCTAACAGTAACGCTAATAATAATGTACATAAAAATCTATAAATATGTTTTGTTTTTCTCAATAAACGATCTGTTGCCTGGTCCTTGTCTTCTGTCGCTACACTAGTAGTTTCAGTTTCCGAGTTTACGATCGGTTGGTGAACTAAGTGAGACAAAAGAGTTCGTTGACTGGGAATATATTTATACATACAAAGAAGAGGCAAAGAAGAATAAGGAACCAATAAGTGATGTAAGGAGCCCCTAGATACTTAAAATCACAGTTTAAAAACTACAGCTGAAAAGAATCCCAAGAACATAGAAGAACTGGATGTCGTGGATGATTTGTGTTTAACGTCAAACAGATTCGAAGATTTAAAAGGTGAAAACCAACTAGATGGTAGAAGAATCACTGAAGACAGAATTTCAAATGAACATAGAGAAAACGGAGATGATGACAAAACCTCGTCAAAAACACCAATCACCGATCACCATCAACGAGTGAAATCTGAAAGAGGTGACTTCCTCTGACTTGTCTGGGCAGAATCGTTTCAACTACACACGGTAAAGATGAAAATGTCAAAAACCTGGATCAGAAAGGCAAGATAAACCTCTATTAATTCGAAATCAGTCTGGGAATGTGCCTCACTAGGCATAAAGTACACGATTAAGCTTTTTAACACAAATTTCAAACTATTTATTCTATATAGTCCAGAGACTTGATGTGTCACCAAAAAGCATTTCGAACAGCAGTCACACCTTTTTAAGTACGGAAGTCCACATAGTCAGAAAGGATTAGTAAAAAGAACCAACTATGCCAAGTAAAATGGAGACGGATCGAACACACACTGAGGAGACCTTGTGAATGACGTTGCACGCCTAGTCCTCGAGTGGGACGCGAATAGTAGACAATGAAACGGGTGTCCGAGTGTCACATGAAGGAGATGGGTAATCGTGGGGCCAACTACTAAGGAGGACCATAGCAAAAAAAGGACAACATGCAGATGTTCTGTTAAAGCCCTATGTTCTAATCGGAACCTAATGAAAATATATATGTATATATATAGTTTTCTCATTTTCTAAATAATTAATTAATGCCTAACTAACCTTGATATTTTATTCAGGCACTCTTATTTACATAAAAATTTGTCTACCCCTTTAGAGTCGTTGTTTTTCCTTAATTTGTGTAAATTAGCATAAAAACTTCATCACTCATCTCGTTTCCCACTGTAAAGTAAAGCTGTTAACTGATATATACTTAAAAGAATGAAAGTTAGTTTTATTTTTTTACGTATTCGTTTGAATATATGTGTAAAACGTGGGCACTGTGGTAGAAAGTAATTCAATATAAGTGTGTTTATTAAATGTATCACACAATGAAACAGTATCATTTACTGGATGACGTTTTAAACACATTCAAACAGATATTTGGACTTCCAGTCATCTCACCCATCCTATGACAGTAAAAATAGGATTGGTGAAATGTTTAAGTGACAGAGCACAAAAACTAAGTAGTACCAAGGAAAATCTAAGACACGAAGTGATACACAAAAAAAGAAGCCTTGAAACTTACTAATTACCCGGATAAATTAGGCAGGAAATATGTGAGGAAATGTAAAAGTAGAGTGAATAATGATAGTAGTGAGAGTGACAGTAATAATAATAATAACAATATTATTGACGAAATGCAAGTCAAATGTGCGCAAGACAATGCCGACAATAAGGAATCTAAATCATCAATAGTAATTCCATGCAAGGAAGGAACCTCGAAAACCACCTTACGCAGAATTCTTAACAACGCTGGCAGGAATAAAAGTGACTGGCTGGCATTCAAACCACCCACAAACTCAATTAGGAACAAGCTTTGTCGGTTAAGCGATCAATCCTGTGGAGCCTTTAAAACAAAACAATTTAGTTTATCTAATATACCCTGTCTGCAGTGACTGTCAGGTCAAATACATAGGTCAAACTGGTAGAACAGGGGCAGTTAGACTAGCCAAACATAAAAACCTAGTAGCAAAATCTAGATTGGTTGACCCGAAAAAGATAAGAAATCTAGAGAATAGTTTGGCTATAGCACTACATACAATTGCACACAACCATACAATAGGATGGATGGGATAGGATGACAGTTTTAAAATCTAATGTCACATGGTGTAGGGAGAGATTGATAACAGAAGCTTTGTGTTATCGAATCAACTGCAAATACATGTAATAGGAATGATTCAACACCTGTCCAGCCGGATATCTGGAAAATTCTACTACCCCAACGACGACAAATAGGAGAAGACAAAGAAAACTATAAAACTCAAGTTTCAAAGTCGTGTGATTACAAATGATATGTTTGTAAACAATTAATTTTGTTCGAAACTGTGTCATCCAGTGAATATTACTGTTTCACTGTGTGATATATTTAGTAAACAAACTTATATGGTATTCGTTTGAAATTTCCTTGTAGTTGACAATTAGGGTATGCAATCCTAAAGTATCTTAGCTATTTTCCACTGCCGAGCCATCATCATGTATTTCATGACAAGGTATGGAAAGGGTGGCTCTGAATGCTTCGACTCTATACGTCAAAAAATATGGAATGTGTAGAACTAAGCCCGAAAAGACGCCCGTTAGTTAGGAATGTCGAATCTCAGATGTTTTTAAGTGATAATGTTATTGATTGCTAATAAACAGGAATATAGTATAACCATATGGAATACTGATTAATGCATAGCAGATACAAATCAATCATCAGGAACTTAATATCCAAACCTAAGGATTATGTTTGATAAAACCTGATAGTTGTCAGGTTAAACCAATGAAACCAATGTAATAATATTCCTCTCTATTCTGTCCATACTTTTGAGTCCGAAGAGGGACACAGGCCTTCTAACTTACTAAAGCTTCAGTAATGGTGGTTTTATTGCTTTTAGAGGACAGGATTGTTAATCTCACGTCTTATCTTCCCGCTTTGCTAGACTCACTACCATCTACGCTCGCCCCTAAAATCTCAACACAATGATGTAAACTTTTGACAGGGTAGGATAAATCTCCTGATTTCAGTTTATATGCCAACTTACACAAGAGTCATCGTAATTAATGACAACAGTTTACTGTTGCTCACTTGCAGTTGTTGGCTTTAGAATACTTAAGAGTGATATGCTTACAACTTTAGACACATTTTTAGTGATGCCTGAACTAAAAGTTGCATTCAGACAACTTGTCTAAGTAGGATTATAAGAAGTGAACACAGTTGAACAAAATGACCACACGAACTATCCCCAGGATAACAAGGAGAACGACAGAAGAAACTGATTGTTCCCCATTATGGAACGAATGGAAAACAGATATGATGTCTCATTTCCTACGCAAAAGGTGTGAACAACCCAGAAGTTGTTGCATAAGAGTACATATGTTAAGAATAACGACAGCGTCATCAACCGTGAGAACTAATTTCAATAAGAACAGTTTTTTGTGTCTTCACTCCACAAATGCGAAAGTATGGAGGAATAGAGCTTTGGAAAATTAAATTACTGACGCTATCCCCAATCCTTATATTTGCAAATAAAACATGCGCATCTAGATTGTATATTGAAGGCCGAAGTTTGCCTCACCTATTTTATACATCCCTAGAACAATGAGGGCTGGAGAAAATCCAATTCAGAACCACATTGGTGTCCGCGAATCGAAGTAGAAAAAAGAACTGACAGCCAAAATTAAAACACGAAGTTCCAAAACTAATAATCCATATGATGCATTCCATAATTTTATTAATTCTTAAGAATTTTCGTAATTACGAAAATAAAATTAGGACATCATAAATTGCAATCAAAATTTTTTGGATTTTGAATTAAATATCCGAATGAGACCATGAATCACATTCAATAAATTTAAGTGCCAATGTATTCAGTAGCACGTGGGGTCATATAATAATGCGTATTAAATCAACTTACCATTTAATTGATTTTGCTTTATGTAATACTGCAGTATCAGTATTCAGTGGCCTAGGCTTACTGAGCTTGGCAGTTATTTTACCATCGCTTATGGAAGAATAATAAATCTGTCTGCTTTTAAATACATCCTTTGGTTTTTCTTAGGAAACAATGCTGTTATGCACATATAGGAATACCGTACTTAGGACTTCATTAATCCACTCTTCCTTTGAGATTGCACTTCTCCCTGTATAATTTGAATCGTCATTGATAAAATGAGTTTTAGGTGCCTCAGAAATCATTTCTGATCATGATTTCGTATATCCGCAGTTCTAAATTTCTTATCGACCTTGAGGTTACCAGATAAGTATATGGTTAAAACATGTATTAATTTGAAATTGTATAGAGATGGGGAAGTGAAACAATAACCTTCAAAATGCTTGAATAACGAAATGCCAGGCTGTCCGCGAACTAGGATTACTCTTAGTTTGCATCGTATGTTGTATATAAGGCGATAAAACTTCAAGTATCCAGTGTATTGTGCATCTTATCAGAGGTTCACTTTGTCCTCAAGGCCGTTCAATTCAGTGTCAGAATGATAATATGCATCCTTTAAATACGAAGTGCGTTTCCCTCTCTAACCAAAAAATACTTATTTTATGAATTATCCACTGAGGAAACGTAGTCTCCCCAACCAGTGAATCTAATTCAACTATTACTTCCACATTGAACCTCTCTTTGGCGAGTAACTTTATCGCATATCCCCGCTAATTGTAGCGTTTGCGTCCTCTGCTATGTTGGTTGAGTAACAAGTTGTGTTTTTATATGCCTTATAAGTGATATTTTGCACTATAAAACTTTTCCGACGTACATAATTTCGGTGGCACTTGGACTGCATTAAATTTGCTGCGCTTGTACCAAGAAATGTAGCTTGACGCTGATATCTGCGCCGTGTGATAGATTAAAACAGGTAAGAAGTTGAAAATTTAAACGTATACTTTTGAATTATCATGGAGCCATACTGGTATATTCCGCCTACTTATTGAAATGCTATTGCCTGAATTAATTTAGGTAGTTGTTAGTATTCGTAGCTCAATTTTAGCTTTAATTTCAGTTTTTAATGTACTCTTAACAGTCGGCTTTTCACTTTAGGACAAAATTTGGTTTCCTACTGATAGTCAACCAATGAACATCTTATAAGTGGGTAAGTGTGATGTCTACACATGATTAAAAACTATTTCATAGAGAAGAGCATCATGAGAAACTGCAAAATGGCTTAGTACTCAATTAATGTATTACTGAAAGCATATTTACAAGATATATGCAGGCTCTAGCTATAGAGTCCTTGGAATGATTATGTGAATTCCCAATGTATAATGTAACCATATTGGTCTTACCATGGAAACAATGACATCTTCGATGAAAACATACCTTTCCTCAAACATTGGTATCGTTGTGTCTTTTAATCAGTACAACGGGACTACAAGGGCACGAAGAATATAAATGAAAACAGTATGTTTTGGCTTCATTAGAAGCTTAGACGGTTGGGATATAACAGAGTGGAAAGTGCTTAGATAGAAAATTGAGAAGTATATAACCGATAGTTTGACGAGAAGTGGCCTCAAAGACCTAAAAATTGCAACATAGAGGACATGCCTATCCGTAAGAGGTTGCCCTAATCTGCGTAAGGCCAACAGCGTTGCATCTTGACAATAGGCTGGGTAAATCTGAAGATGTTAGGAGCACAAGAATAATTTTTCAGGTCTATTCTGTTTGTTTATTCTTTTTCGTTTTTAATGGAACGTAGGGCATCTGGATAAAGACCTGAAGTTTCAGTCCAAGTGTGGTTCACTTTTGAGAGATGGAGTAACTAGCTTCATGCCCAAATTTTCTTCTTCACTGTTCCTATAAACCGGCTTATCGAGGCTCAGTAGTTCATAGGCAGCGATCGAATCCAGGACCACATGCGTGGTTACCGAATATTCTACAGCTGAACCATAATCATCACTCTTATTTTATCTTGAAAATCTATATTCATGTTTGGTTCTCAGGCTGTCAAAAGTGCGAGCTGCTGTCCTACAGACTGCAGCGATTTACATTTATGAACACAACCGTTTACGCTGAACAACACAAGCCTGCCCTCCTCTAATGTGGGAATCTGCAAGACGACATTGAGATTCGTCGGAACGCAGTGTGTTAATTAAGAGCTAATCCTTTTTCTTAAACAGTACCCATTTACTATGAAACTATATATATCAAGTGATAATTTATGGCTCAACACAGAAAGACTGTCTATTCTAAGAGTCTGAGTCTTTGGCAACTGCACGGATCACAGTTCATACAGCATGTATTCAGCAGAATGCCTGCGACTTTAGTGAGCCATGTAGTGTCTTCTGTATTAGAAACAATCTTTTTTTCATACTTTGATTGAAGGCCAGATGGTAATTAACAAGTGCTATTAGCTTCATCCTGTGCTTGGTGCAAAATGAATTCTGCCAGTCGGGTTCCCGATATGGCCACCATGTTAGGTGCCTCGCCATCACGGGATACCTGGAATTCTGGCTATTAGACAGCTGGAGGCAATCAGCTGCGTGACATTTACGCTCAAGACCCCCTGCCGATGGCCTCCGGCTACTTGATCATGACAATGCAATGATGGCTGTCGCTTAGCGTCCATTAAACCCAACATTTTATAGCTCTATATGAATTTGATTCGACTTATTCTATTCCTATTCTCTGGAGGGTACGGTTGTGCACCAAATAGACAAAAAGGCATGAAATAAAAACAACTGGCTTTAAAATAATTGTATTAAAGCCAAAAGTGGACATCATGATAGTACAAAATATATTGGTTTTATTATACATTGCAAATGAACGTTGTCGGCCTAAGGATTAATTACTTCCCCATTCTGTTTTCTATATAAATGTGTTTATTAATGATATATTTCACTCACTTATTCTATTACACTTTAATGTTTCACCTTAGCACTTTAACTTTTCTAAAACAGCTTCCAATCCCTTGTTAACGTTATACTTACCTCAATATTGGTTGGTTATCGTATGCCTACAACCACGGGATGAAAACGAAACGAAGCCGATTTTCCCGCTCAACCTGGAGGACAACTGTACAATTCAATAACTATACGGCCTGGTTCAGACAATGAGTTTAATTATACATATGTATCAAATATTTAACTGTTGAAACATTAATAACTTGTAGACAATTTAAGATTTGACATTATAACATACTTGATCGTGCCTGTAAAAATGGCATGCATTTTCATGTAAATCTATGTTTATATGAAAATAAAATTATTATTATTATTAATAGTTAATTGTTGCCTAATGTTTAATCAAAGTAGCTGATACAGTTCTACAGGAGGTCAATCGCGAGTTTGAATACCTCATTGGTGACGCCTCTGGCTGCATTATTGTGTGACACGGGTTAGAATTTCAGGGGCTAGTGAGTCGGCTCAAGGTTGCAAAAACTGCTTGCAGACTGGTGAGTGCCAGCAAGCACGAATGTTGAGTCAAGGCTTACCGATGATTGTGTCCAACTATCTACTAGTCACTCTTCATGTCCAATACCTTGATGTGCTCAAGCAGTAACGTAGCTTATCAGCCTTACGGTTCGTGGCAATACTTTAAATTAAATACTAAATCTGCTCGAGTGATTAGGTGACCTCAGTGCATCTCCTAACCCCAAAGTAATAGGAACCGCTTCCTTAATTTTCATCAGACAGCTGGGTACAGAAAAAGAGAGTATTAAAGTTTTTGCCCTAATATTCACCCTGAGAGTCACTTCGCTTCTACCAACGTGGTCCCTTGTCGTTACCTGTAATGTAAATATACTTTTCAATAATAAAAACATTTACTACTCAAGAAAATGAAGAAAGGATAGTTTTCGGAATAAATGTGTCTAATATACGTGCAAAATTATTGGATAGAGTGCTGCCAACTATTTGAGGCTAATTGAGCCCGATAGATTTGTGTCATCTGTCGTTGCAGATTACGGAGTTATATGCCCGGGATGCTTTATTGGGGTTTTGAATAGAGTAGTGGGAAAATCGGCTAGATAGGAATAGGGTCTGCTTGAGAGCACACGTGCCTTTAGCTACCAGCGCTATACACAATAAGCGATTTATGTTTGAAAACGCAGAATGAGAATGTAGGAAAGCTCGATTCGAGTGCAAGCTGTAATGACCGCTACAGTAGAAATTAGTCATCAACTATGACAGATAATCCTAAATTATGTTTTACGAGGCACTTAACGTTATACTTAAAACTCTTATTACGGCAGTTAGGACACAACTAACTGCAGACCAAAGAAAATTCAGGAACTCAGTTTTCTTATTGAAATCCTGTGTCGAAAGCATTTACCGACGTACTGACCTTTTAGACAATAAACTTTTACCGTTTTGTGCTTTTCTAACTAAGTTGCATCATGGCCTCCCGTTTTCTGTTTTCAAGCTTAAGTACCTTGTTTTAGATTGCATGCACCGGCCCAGATAAATACAATGAGAGATAACTGCAATAGACAACCTGTTCGCAACACTAGCTCTGCACTCTTGTTTCTGCAAAAAACTTTCCTTCAGCTTCCACAGTAGAATTAAAAGTGATTTTGATTGAGGAAGATAAATAATTGTAGGCTCACTGGTTCCATGGGAACAAAACCCATCCACTGATAAAAAGCAAAGTTAACGTACAAACTCCATGTACTGTATGAGGCCGACGCTTAGTAAAGTTAATGAATACGGATGTCAATCACGTCTCATAAACCGTTAATGCCCAGCTCCCGCTACGCTCGGGCCCACGCTGTTCCTTGAAGATTTCAGAAACGCTTAGTTATAACGGACGAAAAAACCAAAACACCGATCTGCCGTTTGATATTTCTTTATTGTTACACCAACATATAAAAAGAATAAGTGAACTAAGGTTTGAAAACAAATATTACAATAATAAATCATTGTATTACTTCTGACGATGTTTCACTCTTCTTTCTGAACAGCGACCGATGAGACGGGTGAGGATATACGTTATGACGTGGTTATATTTTCCGCGATTCAGGTTTTCTCGTCTTTCATTGGCTAGAACGGTGGCGGTCAATTGGATATTTGATTTGTCCTTTGTAGGTCGTATCGTGTGAGGTTTTGTGTGGTTGTGTTATGCGCCGTTTGCAAGCAAATTTGACAAAGATAGATGTAATTTTTGACTATTTTAACATTGTTTCACTGTTTTTTTACACAGATACACTTCTCTTTTCGCTATAAACTCCCTGGAAACTGGTCAGGCATTATGGTTC